AGGTGTTTCCGAGTACTGCAGCATGAGGGCGTGCAAGTTGATGACGGCATCTTGTGGTGGTCTGAAGGAAGAGAGGGTTGTCTGTGGAGAGAAGAGCCACTGCTTTTTGCCCCCCCTCCCCGGCCCAACAGAACATTCAGGGGGCAACCCTCCCATCCTCGAAGCTGAAACCCTTCAACCTTGGATCCTACATCCTGAGCCTAGACCCCGCGCCCGCAAGCCCGAAGCCGAGACCTTGAACACAAACTCTAAACCTGGATGGCTCACCCGTTACCCATATGGCTTGGGTTCTCAAGAACGGACATCTGTGGATTCCATCTAGGGCTTAGGGGATTGCTTTGTAACGTGACATCACCGCAAAGCTAGTGCCACAAAGAGGTCCAGGACAACGAAGATGCAAACCTAAGAAAGAAAACTGAAAGTAAGTAAACATCGGAATGATTGCCAGCAGCGCCATCGACAGCTTCAAGACCAAGCCATCGTAGACATGCGAACACATAATGCGCGACGCCAAGCAAAATCAACGGATCATCCGACGTCTTCCGAGCGAAGGCTAAGGGTTTAGGGTTTAGGGTTTAGGGCTTAGGGTTTAGGGTGTAGGGTTTAGGGTTTACAGTAGGGTTTAGGGGCACCCTCATACTCACACCCTCTGCGTGTAAACCCTAAAAACCCTGAAGCTGGAGGCCCAGATGCCTTGTTCAGTGCCCCCACGGTCCGCACCTACGACGGCAGAGCGAACATGCCCGCGTGCTGCCAGCTGGGTTTAGGTTTAGGGTTTAGGGTTTAGGGTTTAGGGTTTGGGGTTTAGGGTTTAGGGTTTAGGGTTCAGGGCCTGATGTTTGGAGCTTGGGGCCGTCCCCGGATACACGCCACCCTGCGGAACGCTACTCAACCCCTGAACCCTATCCCGAATCCCCAAACCCCAACCCCCTAAACCCCAAACCCGAAACTCTTAAACCCCTAGAGCCCTGGGGTTTTTGGGTTTATTTTAGGGTTTAGGGTTTAGGGTTTAGGGTTCGGGCCTAAACTTTAAACCCCTCAACCCTAAACCCCAAACCCGAAACCGCAAACCCCAACTCCAGTGGCCCCTAAATGCCAGGCACATCGCAGCGGAGGCTCAGGATTGTGATCTTCTGGTGCTGTGGCTCGCAGCTTTGCTGAAGCCTTCTGGGTGGAAGGTTTGGGGGTTTGGGGGCTTAGGCCCTAAACCCTAAACCCTAAACCCTAAACCCTAAACCCTAAACCCTAAACCCTAAACCCTAAACAGTAGGACTCCAGGGGTTGAAGAGTTTAGGGCTTTAGGGGTGTAGGGTTTAGAGGGTTGAAGGCTTAGGGGCAATCTTAGGCAAAGGGTGCCTGCGGCCGCCCGACCGCAACTACTTGGGAACAAAACCCTGAAACCCGGCCCTTCAACGCCCCTACACCCTAAACCCTAAACCCTAAACCCTAAACCCTAAATCCCTAAACTCCATCCAAACCCTAAACCTTAAACCCTAAACCCTAGACCCTAGACCCTAAACCCTAAACCCTAAACCCTAAACCCTAAACCCTAAACCCTAAACCCTAAACCCTAAACCCTAAACCCTAAACCCTAAACCCTAAACCCTAAACCCTAAACCCTAAACCCTAAACCTCTCTTTCATACATAATTTTAATGTTGGGAGAGTTACTGGGCAAGGTCATTTTTTTACTGGGCAAGGTTATTTTTTTACTGGGCCAGGTCATTTTTTTTGCTGGGCAAGGTCATTTTTTACGGGGCAAGGTCGTTCCATAAGTGAAATATGTTCTTAATGGTGTGGCATTCTTTGGATTTCTTGACTAGTGAATGCTTGGACTTGAGATGCTGAACCCTAAACCCTAAACCCCAAACCCCAAACCCTAAACCCTAAACCCTAAACCCCAAACCCTAAACCCTAAACCCTAAAAAACCCAAAACAAGCCGGCTCAACCGTGAGAACCCCCAAGCCGGCTCCAACTCAGGACTGCGACCGCCAGTGCCTCAACACGCCAGGTTGTGCGTGTTTAGAGCCTCGGCCCCCCGTCCCGAACTCTTGAAACCCTAAACCCTAAACCCCAAACCCTAAACCCTAAGCCTTAAAACCCTAAACCCTAAACCCTCAACCCTAAACCCTAAACCCTGAACCTCTACATCCCAGACAAAAACTGAGCCCAGGGCTCCAATGACGCAGAGTTTACAACCAATTAGTACCAATTGCTTCAGAACCCCCCCCCCCCCAAAATGGAAGATAGTAATCACTATACTGCCCTTATGTGAATATTATACTTGGGTTCGTAAGCAACTAGCAGTTTTGGTTAGGGAGTAAACTATATTGTAGCCCCAAAACCATAACCTATGGTTTGGTATGTTTTTGCTCCAAAACCCAATGCTTGCAGCCCCAGCAGTTCTTGGTTGCGTTCTGCTGCGCCCGCCAAAGCATGAAACAACCTCAAACCCCATGCGCTTGCCCAGGCAGAACCTCCAGCACCTGCCAAAACCCGAAACCCTGCACCCCCACTCTGGTCCCAAGCCGGTCGGCGGGTTTACATCGGGTTGGCTGACAGTCTAGGGTTTAGGGTTGAACCCAACAACTCTAAACCCTAAACCCTGAACCCTAAACCCGTTTAGGGTCTCAAACATCGTCCATCCCAAAGTCAGATGCAAGAACACACACAGCAATCGGCAGATATGAAAACAGGCATGACCCACTTTTGCAAATCTACCAAGCTCTGCCCTGAACCTTCGACAGCTCAAGACCTCTTGCCCTTAAACCCTAAACCCTAAACTCTAAACCCTAAACCCTAATGCCTAAATCCTGAGCCCTAAACCCGTAACCCTAAACCCTAAACCCTCAACCCCCAAGGCGAAGGCGAGAACATCTGCTTTGAAGTGCTCGATTTGGCGCTGCCCCACATGAGCCTCGGGTGTCAGAAGGTCACAGGGGTGTTAAGGGGGTTCAAGGGGGGTAGGTACCTAGGGAACCTTAGGGAAGCTTAGGGAGTTTTAGGGAGAGGCAGGGAGTATAAGGGAACCTCGGGTTACATACACCCCTTGAACCCCCCTCCCTTAAGAACCCTATAAGGAGGTTGCCTCATCCGCTGTTCCCTGTGAGGCTCGGTTCCCTCGACCCTTTGAACACTTCCTAAGCCAGGATCCTGGCCACTAGACCCTAAACCCTAACCCTAAACCCTAACCCCTGAACACCTTAACCCTTAACCAAACCCCTAAACCCTCAACCCTAAACCCTAAACCCGAAACCTTCAACCCTAAACCCTAAACCCTAAACCCTAAACCCTAAACCCTAAACCCCTAAACCCCGTAAGCAGGATCAAGAAACCAGGATCAAGGGGGCACTTCCGGGTTTTCCCACCCTTAACCCGAAACCCTAAACCCTTAACCCTTAACCCTAAACCCTAAACCCTAAACCCTAAACCCTAAACCCTAGACCCTCCAAGGAAGCCGGCGTCGCCAGGGGCACCGCTCTCAGATTCTTGGAGCCTGCAGCAGGTCTGGAAGTCGAGAGAGGTTTTGGGGCTCTTAGGGTTTAGGGTTTAGGGTTTAGGGTTTAGGGTTTAGGGTCTAGGGTTTAGGGTTTAGGGTTTAGGGTTTAGGGTTAGAGGTTAGGGATCGTTTTGGTTGCTTAGGTTTCTTAGGGTTCTTAGGGGCTTTTAGGGGTTCGTAGGGGTTCTTAGGGAGTTGTCATGACAGTTACAGTTTGAGGATGGTTTAGGTTTTAGCCTAAACCCTAAACCCTAAGCCCTAAACCCTAAACCCTAAACCCTAAACCCTAAACCCTAAACCCTAAACCCTAAACCCTAAACCCTAAACCCTAAACCCTAAACCCTTTAGGGCTTCTAGGGCTTGACCTTGAGGGTAGTAGTGAGAGAATACGAGAGAATCGCCACGTTGAGCCACGCACACAGCCACGCTGAGCCAAAAAGGGCTTCAACGGACAGTTGCTTCAAGTTGATCCTGAACCCTAAACCCTAAACCCTAAACCCTAAACCCTAAACCCTAAACCCTAAACCCTAAACCCTAAACCCTAAACCCTAAACCCTAAACCCTAAACCCTAAACCCTAAACCCTAAACCTTTGGACTGATTCCTGGACCCCGGTTGGAAGGCAGACTGGTATTGGAAGGGAGCTGGCTCATAGGGAAGTTGTAAACCAGCAGAAAAATCCAAGATGTTGTACTCATTGGATGCACTAACCGTTTGATCCATGTTGCATGTCACGAAGTGATGCAACTACTGTAAATCATGCAGATTATTACCTTTATACATAGCCGTAAAAGTGCTTATTTATCACATGCTCATCAGGCGTTCATTTTCGTAGTGCTTGCCGAGCATGGCGATGGCCGGCAGTGAAGGAAGTGCTGAGTCCAAGAGAAAGGCATTCAACGAAGATGATCAAGACCTCAGCGAAAAGATTGTATGTATGAGCAACTAGGAGATTGCATATTGACACCTTATTTATTTTCTTGGGAGGGGAGGGGATTGACTGGGAATGGTGTCCTCCATTGCATTAGCTCTCATATGCCATTTTGGGGATCTATTTTTTTGGTGCCTCAGAAGCTTCAAGCTTGTTTGATCTTGGATTTGTGTTCTCACTTGCAGTTCGATGTACTTCGATGTTAGAACACCTAGGTTGAGTTTCGTAAACCTTAAACCCTAAACCCTAAACCCTAAACCCTAAACCCTAAACCCTAAACCCTAAACCCTAAACCCTAAGCCCTAAACCCTAAACCCTAAACCCTAAACCCTAAACCCTAAACCCTAAACCCTAAACCCTAAACCCTAAACCCTAAACCCTAAACCCTAATCCGACGGAGAAGATTGCCAAATATCTCGCCCTCGATGCAGACACCGTGCTGAATCATCTGGCCAAGCGACGGCGCACGGAAGGCACCTGTGGCCACGAGGCAGATGGGTTTAGGGTTTAGGGTTTAGGGTTTCGGGTTTAGGGTTTAGGGTTTAGGGCCGCAGAGGCAGATGAAGCAGCAATGGCGTCGGTAGCAACTTGGACAGAAGACTTTTTAAGCTGGCGGGATGGGATTGTGGTGGCTTGTGCCGCATCAGATCACGTGCAAATGGGACCATGCAGATTCAAAAGTGGTATGGAAGGTTTGATTGCCTTTTTTAACCTGCGTGGAAAACACTATCCCAGAAAACTGAAAGCTTCTCCATAGTCATCGTCATTCCCCAGAAACCTATCACATTTGCTGATGTTACCAGCATTGTTTTCCTGCTGTTGCTTTATGTTGTTTGTGAGTCATGCACAGTCAGACTGCAACGTGACATTTTGTTGCGACTTATTGTCCTCCCTTAAGGAAGGTCCCCTCTCTAAGGTGAAACGCTTGTTGGAAGATCCAGAAGATCTTTGCTGCCCCATCTCAAGATGTCTCATGGAGAACCCCGTCGTGGCCAGTGATGGCTACACCTATGACACTCTGTCATAGTTGGGTAACGCTTTACATTTTTTAGGGGTACTTAAACCCAATAAGGAATAAAACCTAAACCCTAAACCCTAAACCCTAAACACTAAACCCTAAACCCTAAACCCTAAACCCTAAACCTACACCTAGGACAAGGAGAGCATTGAAGCAGCCTGGCAAAGGAAGAGAGTGTCGCCCATGACCAACAAGCCCATGAAGAAGAAGCAGGCTGAAAGTTGGTCAAAAAACAGTGGGACACCAGTTGTTTGTCCAGGTGTAGAACACATAGATGACATTCAGCACTGAAAAAGGGGCAATGTGACCAGAATCAGGTGGTACCTACACAAGACAAGAAAAGCGCGATTGTGGACTACAAGACCAAGACTGTGAATGAGATTCTCAAGATTCTCCCACGCATCCATGACCGCGAATCGATCACCCAGCTTCTTCAACGCGCCGAAGGCTTCGTTCGCCCCTATGCCAAAGACAAATCCGAGCAAGGGAAGTTGAGACTTACCTCAATGAACGATGTCATGACTCAGTCATGACATAGTGTTACCTGCAGTAGACAGTTGCCTTAATCCTCTTGAGCATTATCTTTTTCTATCATCTCGAATCATCTCGAAGCATGGCAACATGACAAAGACGCAACGTCGCCAGCGAAGCTGGTGAGGCTACGGACATCGCGGTCTCAGAGGGTCCATGTTGAGGGTTTAGGGTTTAGGGTTTAGGGTTTAGGGTTTAGGGTTCCTAGCTACCTGACGTCAGACGCACAGAAATTGCGTTGCTTTTCGGTTTTGAGTTTCTTCGTGGGCTGAGGATCACGCTCTTGCATCTGAAGGCTGATCTGCCCAAAGACTTGCGGGGGGATGCCATACCCGAGCTTCTCAGGTTGCTCTCAGAGAGGGAAGATGATGCCGGACTGAGGGAGGTCTTGAAGAAGTTTGGTGATGACCTGGCTCACCATGTGTCAGAGTTGAGTGATGACATGCTGGCCAAGCTTCATGCCCTTGCACCCAGTGAGAAGGTGTCCTCGATGCTAGCCCAGGAGCTGGCATGCAGCATGGCGAAGATGAAGAGTGCTGCAGGCGTGAAATCCTTGTGGCAGATCCTCAAAAGGCTTGCCGCGACGTGTGAAGCGGCCGAAGCTCAATCGGGCCAATGGTGTGCAGGAGAGGCCTGTGGACTGTTCTTGGCGGCTCATCCGAAATTCAAAGCTGATCTCAAGGACCTGCCACTGGCAGCGCTGAGAAGCACCAACGTCTTCATGACAGATGCCTCAAAAGCCTCCGCGCGTGCCATGGAGCTTTTCCGCTGCGACCTGGGTCTTCCCAAAGTGAAGTCGGATGCATCAGTCTTGGCGCAGGTCCTGCTGGAGAGAAGCAAGCGCGAAGAGAAGGCCCAGAAGCAGAAGCTCTTGATGGAAGCGTATGAGTTGGATGAAAGCGATGCAGAGATCCGGACGGCCTTGATTCAGGCAGGGTAGAGAAGTTGCATGAAATGGCACTGTTGCATGAGGTGTTCAATAGGTTAAATATGGCAGAATGCGGTCTTTGAGTCAGCTCCTACAGCAGCCGAAAATCAGACCCAATAAGCCCATTTTGCCAGAGGTTCTCAGAGAGGCCTTGGAAGGGTCTGAAGGAGACTTTGACAAGGAAGACATGTTGCTCAGAGCGCTCTTTGCAGAAAATGACAAGATTCCTGAGGAGTTTCGGGAAGTCGGTGTTTGGATGGATTTAAGATAGTGTTTCGGTGACTTTCACCATCCATTTAGTTCGTTGGAGGACTTGTTGCCAAAGCTGTCGCTGAAGCTCAAGACGTTGCCACCTCAGCACTGTTTGGCACTTGCCAAGCAGCTTTCCTGCGCGGATCGCAAAGTGGATGGTGCCAAAGTGGCAGTCATGGCAGCAGAGGGCTTTGAAGATGCCAACTCTGCCAGAGCCGCATATCTCTCAGCTTTTCAGATGGATCGACAGAATCAGGATGCCTTCCTTGGTGTCATTGATGCCTGTGGCTTTGCCGCTGAGAAGTGTCACCAGCTGGAGTGCCGCATATCCGAGATGTCCCAGCTGGAGCAGAAGCTCAAGATTTCTCAACAGAAGCAAGATCGATTCAACAAGAAGCAGCAGGAGGAGATCACCAACCTCCAGAGAGAGCTGGCCAACGCCACAGAGACGTCGGGCACGCTTCGTAGACAGCTTTTGGGCCAACAAGATAGGCTAGCGAAGCTTGAGCAGTCTGTATCTACTCTGAGGCACAATCCATTTTCTGGTATTAGATTCTAGACCCTTTGGCTGGTAGTGTATCCTCTGCCAGCAGAAAGGTCAAAGGGTTTAGTTCGTGGGACGCCAATGCTTTTGCGTTGCGTAGTTTATCCTGTGCAAGCCACACGGGACCGGGGGGAAGAAAATGTCTTCAGAAGTGCTTGCGAAGCCAGTGATGTTTTTGATGCGCCCGCCAAACAAGTTGACTGATGTACGCACACAATTGAGATTTCAACTGACGTCAATTTGAGGCATGTTCCAAACCACGAAGCCAAGTAGTAAGTAGGGAAACCACGCGGTTGCTCCAAATGTTGTTGCCGGGATCGGGATAGATGCCAGACTCCCGGGTAAAGTTCGTTTTTTTCAGCTTCCGGGCTGTTTGACGCAGTGGCAACACCAGTTCGGTGCGCGTCACCAGGGACACTCGTCGATCCACCACGGCTGTTGCAGATACTATGATGTTCGCACAATGGGCAGCTGGTGTACGCAAATCAGGTGGGTAGGCTGGCTCAAGCGAACCAACGCCGGTTGGATCCCAACGACCGACACGGCAACGAGGCCTGGGAGCAGGCGGAGGGGGGAGGCCGGGGTGGCACACGCGCGTTAGTCGCGTGCTGCAGGGGTGATGGAGGGGCGTTTGTGGCATGGTTCCCCAAGCGTCGGCGGAACCAAGGGGGCGGCAGGAAAACTGGAAAAGAATGGCTTTCCGGAAGGGTTCCACGGAAGATGGCGGCAATCGCTCTTGAATTTGCAGCGGTAAATCCGTGATCAGTGTGTCAAGGCACAATACCATAGGTGCGAAGCATCCTGGGAGAAGTTTCGGGCCTACTGCAGCCCTTCTGCACAAGTGTTTATAGGGCTTAGGATCCAGGGTCCAGGCTTTGGGTTTGGTGGACCAGGTTCCACAGCAAACGCTACAGCGACACAACTCAGAAGCAGGGCCGTAGCACCTCAACCCCTCAAAACCCTCATCCATCCGAAACCCTAAGCCCTAAGCCCTAAACCCTAAACCCTCAACCCTGAGCCCTAAACCCTAAACCCTAAACCCTAACCCTAAACCCTAAACCCTAACCCTAAACCCTAAACCCCCCCAAAAAACCCTAAACCCTAAACCCTAAACCCTAAACCCTAAACCCTAAACCCTAAACCCTAAACCCTAAACCCTAAACCCTAAACCCTAAACCCCTGAACCCTAAACCCTAAACCCCAACCCTAAACCCTAAACCCCTCAGAACCCTAATCCATCCGGAACCAAGAGCCAGGCATTCCCGGACGCGTACCGCGGTTGCGTGTACCGTGCCAGGCACCCAATGAGCTCTAGCAGTTGGGGGCACATGTTGGGTGTGTATATGTATATATATATATATATAATTTTACATATATATATATATATATCTTTATTTGTATTTCTTTTTATGTTTATATACACATAGATAAATAGGAGAATATAAATAGGCAACAACAAATGTGTATGTATACGCACACACACACAGACATATATGTATGTTCATATGTCTTTGTGTATAGACCTACATGCGGGACAGCCCTACAATTGTTTCCGGTTTTGGGAAAGTTCGCGTTTGGGGGCCCAGCGGGTGTCGCAGCTCTGGAAGGGCCTACAGAGTTCCCCGACCCCCGAGCAGCCCGCCCCCAAATTCGTGCGAAGCCTCTGAACCTCAAGAGCCTACACCCTCAAGCCTAAACCCTAAGCCCTAAACCCTAAGCCCTAAACCCTAAACCCCAAACCCTAAACCCCAAACCCTAAACCCTAAACCCCGCCCGCTGCCCGTGGTTCCCTGCGTCGGACTCCTGGCAGGTTCAGCTCACTAGCGCCCCAGGATCTACAGGCAGGAGCAGAAACATGGTTTACGGCTTAGGGTTTGGGGTTTAGGGTTTAGGGCTGAGGGTTTTAGTGTTTGGGGCTTAGGGTTTGGAGTTTAGCTAGGGTTTAGAATGTACCCTAGGAGAGGCAGGAGGGACAGGGAGAAGGAGAGGGAGGGGAGAGAGGGAGATGGAATCAGAGGGACAGAGAGAGAGGGAGAGGGTTTAAGGTTTGCGCGATAGGGTTTCGGAACTGAGGGGTTCTTGTTTACACACGAAGCTTTAGGTTTAGTGTGTTTGGCATGTCAGATGTTGCAGTTTTTTGAGTGTTTCTTGGTCCTCGGGCACTTGTCCGCTGGATATGGTGGGCCAGAAATAGCCTGGAGCTGGCCCACAAAAATACTAGTTCTCGGGCTAGAGGTTAGCAGTTGCCCCAAAACCCTAAAGCCAGGGGGGTTGAAATCGACCAGTATGTGGCTCACGGGTGAGGGTTTAGGGTTTAGGGTTTAGGGTCTAGGGTCTAGGGTTTAGGGTGTAGGGTTTAGGGTCTAGGGTTTAGGGTTTAGGGTTTAGGGGTACCTAGTTCTTGCATGTTCTTGCTAGGCGGCGATGATGCAGCTGGCGCATCCCAACCGCGATGAAGCGCTGTCCGTGGATGCGCGGCAGGAGCGGCAGGGGTTGCCTCGAGGCATTGGGGCAGTTTAGGGTTTAGGGTTTAGAGTTTAGGGTTTAGGGTTTAGGGTTGGGGATTTGGGGTTTAGGGTTCTGGGGCTTTCAGAGTGCGGGGCCTAGCTGAAAGTTCATGGGCACTTTGCTAGAAGCTAGATTATGCTGTTCTGCGTACCTTAAGTTCTGCAGCTGCCCTAGTGATATCCCAACGTGTAAGTACTTGTGGGGGCTTCAAGCATCGTCAGAGCCCTTGTAAGCATCGAGCTCTGTACATTGCATGTTTTGGGATTGTTCCAGCTCCTGCATGGCTTGACGTATAACCTGGGGCAGGCCTTTCAAACCGGGGCATCGCAATCAGCGCATGGGATCATCAGATATTTCCCCAGCAGCTACACGGGCAGCTCTACTAGAACCCTGAACCCTGAACCTTTTCTAAAGGGAACCTCCAAAATGGTACCCACGTTTTCCGCCCTCCCCTCCCCTTCCCTGCCAAACTCACGACTCCAGCTCAACCCTGAACCCCTACAACCTCTAAACCCTAAACCCTAAACCCTAAACCCCAAACCCCAAACCCTAAGCCCTAAACCCCTACAACCCTAAATCCTAAACCCTAAACCCTCAACCCTGAACCCTGAACCCTAAACCCAAAACCCCAAGCCCCAAACCCTAAACCCTAAACCCTAAACCCCAAACCCTAAACCCTAAACCCTAAACAACCCTAAAACCCCAAAGGAGCTCGATTTGAGGGTCGGCGTGGCTTTCTCGAGGCCGGGGGTTGCGCGGGGGCTTTTCAGGCTTCGGGGTTGAGGATGTAGGAGGTATGGTTCGGGGTTTACGGTTTAGGGTTTAGGGTTTAGGCTTTAGGGTTTAGGGTTTAGGGTTTAGGATTTAGGGTTTAGGGTTTAGGCTTTACGGTTTACGGTTTGGGGCTTAGGGTTTCGGGTTTCGGGTTTGGGGTGCAGGGTCGGTTTTCGGGTTTGCCGGCGCTTGGAGGGTCTAGGGTACATAGGGCCAAAGCCCGAAATCTCAGCGCCAGACCCGAGGCCCTAAACCCGAAACTTTAGGGTTTAGGGTTTAGGGTTTAGGGTTTAGGGTTTAGGGTCCTAAACTCTGAACCCCAAACCCTGAGCCCTAAACTTTAACCCAAAGCCTCAACCCTGAACCCCAAACCCGATAGAACCGAAAGCTTTCAAATTTCAAAACCCGAAGCCCTCCCATTTTGTGGTTGGTAGCATCACGTGTGGCGTGTGGTATCTTGCACGAGCTTGTCACGCACCTGACAGGAATGACATGGCAGAATGCTGAAATCCTGCACCCCAAACCCTAAACCCGAGACCATAAACCCAACTTTCTGAAGCTCCCAACCTCTCCTAATTAAACTTCAGCCATGAACCCAAAGCCTTCAACCCCATCCCCGAACCCCAACACCCAAAACCTGTCGGAATCCTCAACCCCTGAAGCTACCCCTCAACACCAAAACCCAAAACTCGAAAACCCCGAACCCGAAACCCTAACCCTAAACCCAAAACCCTACACCCTACACCCTACACCCTACCCTAAGCCCTAAACCCTAAACCCTAAACCCTAAACCCGTGGAGCTCCCAGCCCCAGGCTTCAGACCATGTACTTCAGGAAGCACTTTGGGCGACAGCTGGGCAAGCAGATGGTCACGTGACCGGCGTCTGGCAAGCTGGAGCTTTTCTCGGGCTCAAGGGGCTCAGGGTTTCGGGTTCAGGGTTCAGGGTTTTAGGGTTCAAGGCTGAATGTTCAGGGTTTCGGGTTTAGGGTTTAGGGTTGAAAGGTTGATTTTCTCAGGCCCCAAGAGCACGAAATTTGTTGTAGCTCTGAGCTTTAACATACCCAGGACTTCATTTCTGTCCAGGGGAAGTTGCATGTTAGGGTTTAGGGTTTAGGGTTTCGGGCTTAGGGTTTAGGGTTTAGGCTTCAGGGTTTGGGGTAGTGACATGGTCCCTTTAATCTGGTCCCTCACCTTAAAGGGTATGAAATCTGGGCCCCCGGGTTGTTTCTATGGTATGCAAGGGTTCTCCAAAGTAGGGGCCCGCATCAAGAGACCATGTAACTGTCCTACGATCATGGACCTGTTCATGTCGGAGCATTCGCAGGAGCTTTCGTGTCGCGTACAGCATGTTCCTGAAATCAGGAGGTTGAACTTCTGTGTACTCAGTTGTTTGTGTGAGTTTTGGGCGCAAGAGTTATGACCAACCTAGAATCCTAAACCCTAAGTCCCCAACCTCTTAAGCCTGAACCCGAACCCCACACCCTAAACCCGAAACCGAAACCCTGTTGCAGAACAGCACTCGAAACCCTAAACTCTAAACCCTAAACCCTAAACCCTAAACCCCCCTAAACCCTAAACCCTAAACCCTAAACCCTAAACCCTAAACCCTAAACCCTAAACCCTAAACCCTAAACCCTAAACCCTAAACCCTAAACCCTGCCCGTCCCGCACTTGTCTTGTGCCGAGAGGTATGGGCCTTGCCAGATTCCCACTCTTTGGTTCTGCGTCCACCGGCACGTCTGGGCCCCTGGAGTAGGATGGGAGGGTTTAGGGTTTAGGGTTTAGGGTTTAGGGTTTAGGGTTTAGGGTTTAGGGTTTAGGGTTTAGGGTTTAGGGTTTAGGGTTTAGGGCTAGGGTTTAGGGTTTGGGGTTTAGGGCTGACGGTTCGGGAAGTCGATGCTCGCAGTCTGCGTAGGGGGCTGGGGGGGTCCGGGTGGGGTGGGGCTGAGGGGAGGGGAGGTTTCAGGTTTCATCCGGGTTCTGATGAGGGCGGGCTTCCCAAGCTCAGATTCTAGCTCCTTGTGCCTAGACCTTAAACCCTAAACCCTAAACCCTAAACCCTAAACCCTAAACCCTAAACCCTAAACCCAAAACTCTATCAGCTGACTTGTCGCTACCCGTAAACCCTCGAGTCGCTTGAGCTTCGGCACGCGACGAAGCCGGCACACCAAAAACCTCCTAAACCCTAAGCCCTAAACCCTAAACCCCAGCCCTAAACCCTAAACCCTAAACTGTAAACCCTAAACCCTAAACCCTAAACCCTAAACCCTAAACCCTAAACCCTACATCAACCCTAAACCCTTGAGGTGGCGATCGAGGACTTCGTACCCGAAGCTCGGCTGCGAGAAGGGCTCGGGCCTGGTGCTACCCCGACCCTCTTTAGGGTTTAGGGTTTAGGGTTTAGGGTGAGCCCTTCAGCTCTCTCAGCCGTTTTTTTATCAGCCCTGAACCCTAAAGACCCGGGCCCTCAAGTCTGCGAGACACAGGGGGGCACCTGGAGGCCTGAAGGGGTTTAGGGTTTAGGGTTAGGTTCTAGGGTTTAGGGTTTAGGGTTTAGGGTTTAGGTTCTAGGGTTTAGGGTTTAGGGTTTACTCTGAGCCTTTTCGGCGACATGCGCCCAAGCCATGAATGCCGAAGCCTTGGGCTGAGGGGTTTAGGGTTTAGGATTTAGGGTTCAGGGTTTAGGGTTCAGGGCTTAGGCGGTTTAGGGTGTAGGGTTTCGGGTGTAGGGCTCATGGACAGTAAGCATTTTTGGCAGGGGGTTTAGCTTTGAGGGTTTAGGGCTTAGTAAGGTTTAGGGCTTAGGGTTTGGGTAGCCCCTTAACAACCCAATACCCCAGTTATAACCCTATAACCCTATAACCCTATAACCCCATAACCCTAAGCCCCAAACCCTAAACCCTAAACCCTAAACCCTAAACCCTAAACCCTAAACCCTAAACCCTAAACCCTAAACCCTAAATCCTAAACCCTAAACCCCAAACCCAGCCAGGTTTTAGGTGCAGCTAGAGATGCCCCACTTGTAGCCCCCGATATCATTGAGCCTGCCTCGTGAAGAGCGCTTAGGGTTTAGGGTTTAGAGGGTAGAGGGTTTAGGGTTTAGGGTTTAGGGTTTAGGGCTAGGGTTTAGGGTTTAGGGTTTAGGGTGTAGGGGTCCCAGATTTCGGATCTACGTTTTCGCGCCTGAGCCTGGTCATCGGCTCTCTGCCCTCCTGTCTGTTCTCACGCCCTCAGAAGCGGCTGCGACGTTTCGAGTGATTCAGGGGGGAAATGTCTTGAGACAAGGGTTGAGGGTTTAGGGTTTAGGGCTAGGGTTTAGGGCTAGGGTTTAGGGTTTCGGATCTAGGGTTTAAGGGTTCAGGGGGTTCCGGGTTGAGGGTTTCGAGGAGTTCCGGGCTTAAAGCTTCGGAACCCAATTCTTGCGCTGAAGGAGCCGTATTGGCAGCTGACTGCGGCTGTCTCTGCAGGCCTTTGTGAAGCACACTCCCTAGACCCCCTAAACCCTGAACCCTAAACCCTAAACCCAAAACCCTACATAAACCCTAAACCCCAAACCCTGAACCCTAAGCCCTAAACCCCAAACCCTAAACCCTAAACCCTGAACACCAAACGGTTCAGGGCTTAGCCTTGCTCACCCCAAGCCCAAAACCCCCACAACCCCCCCAAACCCTCCGAAAGAGCCCAATGCCCCCTTGAAGAAGGAATATGCCTTAAAAAAGGAATATACCTTAGATGAGGAATATACTATTCCTTACACAAGGAATATACCTTACATCATGCTAAGGATCCCTCTAAAATTTAAGGTATATTTCTTCATTGAGGGGTTTTGCTTCGATGCCCCAAACCCTGAAACCCTCAGCCCTGCGGCCATGTCTCAAAACTGCGTTGAAGGACTTCTTTGAGGGTTCCTCCAACCCTCTACCCTAAACCAAAAGTCTAAGCCTTAAACCCTAAACCCTAAAGCCTTAAACCCCTAAACCCCTAAACCCTAGACCCTAAACCCTAAACCCTAAACCCTCCGCGAAGAGGCTCGCAAAGCTTCCAAGCCCACTGCGACCGGGGAAGAATTTGGAACGAAGCCGAGGCTACGGAGCTTATAGGGTTCATCGGGGGGTGAGGGTGACTTCGAGGGTTTAGGGTTTTAGGGTTTAGGGTTTAGGGTTTAGGGTTTAGGGTTGTTGAGCCGGTTTAGGGTGCAGAGTTCGGCGTTGCCAGTCAGGTTGTCAGGGTTCAGGGTTCTCAGGGCTTGTCAGGGTTCAGGGTTCTCAGGGCTTCTCAGGGTTCAGATTGCAGGGTTAGGGATCAGGGTTTAGGGCTAGAGGGTGCCCTTATCCACAAGGCCCAAAAGCTTAAAAACCCCAGACCCCGCCGCAACATGAGGCCAGCAACCCTAAACCCTAAACCCTAAACCCTAAACCCTAAACCCTAAACCCTAAACCCTGAACCCTGAACCCTGAACCCTGAACCCTGAACCCTAAACTACTCCTGCCCTCGAGTCCCTTCAGCCAAGGGCAACAGCCCTAAACTCTACTGTCTAGAATCCTGCAGACCCGCCTGCCTGGTTCCGACCGGACATCTTGGCTCCAAGATGGTTTATTCTGAGCTTTGAGCAAGTTCTTCGAGCACAAGAAGCAGCAGGAGTGTAGTCATCACCCTAGACGCGCTTCTCGAACCGTAATCTGCTGCCTGGTGTAGATAGGGATCCGGACACGCGGGCGTCCGGACACAGAGACCCTTGCAAAAGTGCCCTGCACCACAGCAGCTTGGACAGAACGTGCAGGGCCCCCGTCTCCCTTGTAGTCTTAGGTAGCAAAGAGTTGAACTTTAGGGTTTAGGGTTTAGGGTTTAGGATTTAGGATTTAGGTAAGCTTTGTGGGTTTCCTTCTGTTGTAGGAATCATGAAGTTTAGCCCCCTTCGTTTTTTTCCTAAGCAAGAGGCAGGTGAAAGGTCTCCCTACCACCTGAACCCTAAACCCTAAACCCTAAACCCTAAACCCTAAACCCTAAACCCTAAACCCTAAACCCTAAACCCTAAACCCTAAACCCTAAACCCTAAACCCTAAACCCTAAACCCTAAACCCTAAACCCTAAACCCTAAACCCAAACCCTGCAGACCTGAAACGCTCACCCAAAAGTCAAAAAACCCTCGGCTTAGCAGCTTCGGGTCTCCAGGGTTCGCGGGTTTTCGGTTTAGGGGGGTTAGGGTTTGGGGTTTGGGGTTTAGGGTTCAGGGGTTTAGGGGTTTAGGGGTTCAGGGGTTTAGGGGTTTAGGGGTTTAGGGGTTTAGGGGTTTAGGGGTTTAGGGGTTTAGGGGTTTAGGGGCTAAGGGGTTTAGGGGTTTAGGGGCTCAGTGTTTTGTTTTTTTGGGCTTAGGGTTTCGGGTGGTCGAGGTTTTCGCGCATCCTGAGCCCAGAAGGGCAGAATGTGTGCTTCCCACAGTGCCTCCTGGAGGGGCGGGCCTTCAGCTCTTTCAGCTTTGGGAAAGTCCTCAAGTGGTTCAGGCTTTCGGGCTCAGGGTTTAGGGTTAAGAAGTCCTAGAGGGAACGATGTACAGAGAAAGCTGTTCTGCGCGTGCTCCAGGCGTGCCCTTGCAACAGCAAAAGTGCAGAGGCCAACGCCCGTTGCCCCGTTCGCATTGCTGTCCGGACACAACACCTGCCACGAAGCCTTTTGTCAAGGGCGCCTAAGGCAGGCGCATGGCGCATGTGAGGCCGAACAACCCTGCAAAGGACTTGGGCGCCTAGAGGTTACAAGGCTTTCAGCCAGGGCCCTATACCCTCTACTACTATAATCCCGATTAAGGTAATATGAACCATAAACCCTTTTAAGGGAGGATTGGTTGCTGGGGACTGTGCTTCCTGGTTCGCGGTAGCGTGTGGCCGGTCCGCGTTTTCGCAGATGGTTGCCCGATCTGAGGTTTGTCTTCTTGTGACGATTGCAGTCAATGCGTTGTTGAGCAGAGCCAAAACGCCCATTAGGAACGCAAAGGGCTGCATCCTTTTTGTGCCTTTTTGGTTGGAGCCTTTTTTGTCAAGAGAGGTTCAAAGAGGTCCGGCCCTTGGTTAGCATGCGTGCGTGCGATAGCGATTCGTCCAGGGAAGGTGGTGTTATCTGTAGAGCTTCAAGACCCTGAGTGTTACCCTAAACCCTAAACCCTCAACCCTAAACCCTAAACCCTAAACCCTGAACCCTAAGCCCTAAACCCTAAACCCTAAACCCTAAACCCTAAACCCTAAACCCTAAACCCTAAACCCCCCAAGCCCCAAACCGAGCTTCGCCAACCCAGGACATGGCTGGAGGCCTCCCCGAGCCGAGCCGCGACACCGCCCTCGAGGGCGGCCTCGCTGGGCGCACCATCCACGAGGCTTGGGGCTTTGGGGGTTTTAGGGGTTTTAGGGTGTTTAGGGGCTTGGGGTTTAGGGTTTAGGGTTTAGGGGTGTCTTGGGTTTAGGGTTTTAGGGTTTGGGGTTTAGGGTTTAGGGTTTGGGGTTTAGGGTTTAGGGGTTTAGGGGTTTAGGGGTTTAGGGGTTAGGGTTGGGGGTGTCTTGTGTTTAGGGTTTGGGGTTTAGGGGTTTGTTTAGGGCGTTTAGGGGGTTGAGGGTTTAGGGGGTTTGGGGTTGAGGGTTTAGGCTTGAGGGTCTTGGGGTTGCAGGGTGTTGGCTTGCGCAGCCTCTGGCACCCCGCAGTACCCTAAACCCTAAACCCTAAACCCTAAACCCTAAACCCTAAACCCTAAACCCTAAACCCTCAACCGGTCGTCCTCAGAGGGTTCTTGAGAAGGCCTCCTGCTTTCTTCAGAGTCGTGACATCCGCGGCGTCTGGGAGTCCACGCTGGCCGCAGGTGCGCGACCTGAGTGCCGCGGAGCAGCTGTACCTCTACGAGCGCACGCGGCGCTTCAAGGCCTGGGGTTTAGGGTTTAGGGTTTAATTAGTAATTAGGGTTTAGGGTTTAGGGTTTAGGGTTTAGGGTTTAGGGTTTAGGGTTTAGGGTTTAGGGTTTAGGGTTTAGGGTTTAGGTGCGGGTCCCGGGCTCTGTTCAGCTTGAAGGCTCCTCCCTAATTGGGGGTTGAACTTTGTTGTTTTGGGAGGGTCGTGATTTTGTTGGGGTCTCTAGCATGGTATATTGCCTAGAACTTGGGATGTTCCCCCCTTATACTAACAGTCCCTAATATAATCGCTGTTAAGGGCTGTTAGTATAAGGGGGAACATCCCAAGGTATATTGTCTAGAACCTCTCCGAGAAAACGTTGTGGCGCCTGCTCGGTCCATTTTCTTCCGCTCTGCCTCCTGTGGCCAATTCTGCAAGCAACTTCTGCCGACAGAATCTCTCTCTCTCTCTCTATCTGTCTGCTCCCTTTCTCTGTATGTCACTCCTTCTCGCTTTTTCTGTGTTTGCGCTCTGGACTTCTCGTTTTGTTGTTCATCTCTGTCTCTCTCGCTCTCTAACCCTTCTTCCCATTCTTGTTTTAATCTCTCTCTCTCTCTCCTTCTTTCTTCCCCTCTCACCTTCCTTCTTCCCCTCCTTCTCAGATCTCTCTCTCTCTCTCTCTCTCGCTCTCTCTCTCTCTCTCTGTCACTCTCTTTCTGTACTTGTTTATTCTTGCGTATGTACATTTTTGTTATCCTTTTTCCACTCTTTTTGATACTAGCTGTCTTTAAGTCTGTCGTTTTTCCCTCCCTCTCACGAATTAGGGCCGGCAACAACGTACTGAGTTGTTGTGGTGTCGTTCCCCATGCAAACCTCCAGGCTGCAAGGCTCCTACCGTGCCCTAAGCCCTAAACCCTAAACCCTGAGCCCTAAACCCTAAACCCTAAACCCTAAACCCTAAGCCCTAAACCCTAAACCCTAAACCCTAAAGCTGAAACCGTAATTCCCTAAACCCTACACCTCAAGCCCGATCTTGCCTTGCGGCGAGAGCCTGCCCGGAAAGGCTTGCTGCAGGAAGCAGTGGGTTCCCAAGGGATCAGCATGTAGTTCCAGCCCCTCAAGCCTAAACCCTAAACCCTAAACCCTAAGCCCTAAACCCTAAACCCTAAACCCTAAACCCCCTAAGCCTGTGGCCCGGCCTAGACCAGGTCCCGACCGTGGTTTAGGACTCAAGGGTTTTGGGCTTAAGGGCTTGCCTTTGGGGGTTTAGATTTCGGGGGTTTAGAATTTGGGGTTCCCATTTTGGGTTTTGGGTTTTGGGGCTCGTGGTTTTGGATTCTAGGGTCCTTGCGCATCCCGCAGTGCAAAAGCCCTGAGAGGCGCGAAAGCGCGATGCGAATCCAGAGGTGCGAGATGCGTTCTTACTAGAGGGGTCGGAATAAATCCCGATAGCATTCCAGTATGGTCCCTATAAACTTACCATAATAACCCCTAGTCCAATCATTAAGGCATCATATTAGCGTTTCTTTGCTGGGGCTGATACGGCTTTCTACGGACCCTACTCCGCATACAACCTGTAAAGAACCATATATGCCATCGACATGCATTGGAGGTTTAGGATTCGAGGGTTTTGGATTAGGGTTTAGGGTTGAGGTTTTAGGGTTTAGGGTTTAGGGTTTATAAACCCTCGGGTTTAGGGTTTGGGTTTATTGAGGGTTGAGGAATTGTGGTCGGGGAGATCCGAGGACGGTTGAGGGTTTCTTAAGGGGAAGCTGCTAACCCCTTAAAGCTCAGAGCGCAAGCCCGAAAACCTAAGCCCGAACTCCTCATCCCGTGAATCCTGCACCTCTGAAGCCCTAAACCCTAAACCCTAAACCCTAAACCCTAAACCCTAAACCCTAAATCCTAAACCTCTAGCCAGGCCGAAGGCCCTGCGCTTTGCGAGATTCCGGACGATGCCGTTGAGGAGCGAGTGGACAACCCGGATTGCACCGTGCACTTGGGCCAAAAAGGGTCTCAGCCGAAAGGTTTAGGGTCCTAAACCCTAAACCCTAAACCCTAAACCCTAAACCCTAAACCCTAAACCCTAAACCCTAAATCCTCGTCCCTAAGCCCTAAGCCCTGCAGAAAGTGTCGGCCGATTGGTTCCCGGGGGGGGGGGGGGGGGGGTGTTTTTTGGTTTTGGGTGGGCGATTTTCCGAGTTGCTGGGGATGCGCGTTTGGCGACGGGCCGCATCCCCCCAAGCCGCGCCGTGAAGACCGAATATCCTCAAAGCCCCAACTCCCTAAGGCCATTCAGAATCCCCAAACCCCCGCTCTAAACCCCCCCCCCCAAGAGCTGAACTCTAGACCCAAGCCGTGAACATGATCCCCCAAGAACCTTGCCGAAACCCTATAATATAAACCCTAAACCCTAAACCCTAAACCCTAAACCCTAAACCCTAAACCCTAAACCCTAAACCCTAAACCCTAAACCCTAAACCCTAAACCCTAAACCCTAAACCCTAAACCCTATTCAAAGCATCCCAAAGCCCTCAGAGCCCCAAAAAGGCCCCAGGTCCCAAAGCAAGCAGAATCACAAGAATCAGGTCCGAAGCCTCACACTCCTAAGCTCCCTAAAGCCCTCAACCCCTCAACCTCCACCCCCCCCCACGCCCTAAACCCCTAAACCCCTACTACACCCCTAAACCCTCAACTCTCCCCCTAAGAGCCGAGGTACCTGATCTTTATGGAAGGCTCCACCCGCACCCGGGAATCCCTCCGCAATGCCGCTGTCTACCACGGCGTGAAGGCTGAGGGGCTTGATGCCTCGATGCCTTGAGGGGTTGAGGGGCTTGAGGGGTTTGAGGGTTTGGGGCGTTTGGGGTTTAGGGTTTTGAGGGTTTGAGGGGCTTGAGGGTTTTGAGGTGTTTTGAGAATTTTGAGGGGTTTGAGGGGTTTGAGGGGCTTGAGGGGCTTGAGGGGTTTGAGGGGTTTGAGGGGAACCCTAAACCCTCAACCCTAAACCCTAAACCGTAAACTTGCCCTAAACCCTAAACTCTAAACCCTAACCCGCAAACTTGCCCTAAACCCTAAACCCTAAGCCCTAAACCCTAAACCCTTTGAACCCTAAACCCTTTGAACCCTAAACCCTAAACCCTAAGCCCCCGTTTAGGGTTCGCGTTTTTTCTTTTTTTTGGGCTTTGCCGCTTTTGGGGGGGCTTTTGCAGGCTCTGGGGGTCGGGGCTATTCAGGCTGTCGTTCGGGGTTTTTCTCAGGACTTAGGCTTTAGGGTTGTTGGGGATGAGGTTTAGGGTTTGTATAGGGTCTGGGGTTTAGGGTTGAGGGGTTTTGGGGACGAGGTTTAGGGGTTAGGGTTTAGGATTGTTGTTGGGTCCCCAAGGGAGATTGGTTTTGCCCATGTACCCTGGGGTTTCTGGGTTTCCGAAGCTAACTCCAAGAAGGGGTAATTTGGCTGCTGAGCAACGAAGGGGCTTAAGGCTTTAGGGCTTCGGGGTTTTGACTCTAAACTCTAAACTCTAAACTCTAAACTCTAAACTCTAAACTCTAAACTCTAAACTCTAAACTCTAAACTCTAAACTCTAAACTCTAAACTCTAAACTCTAAACCCGAAACCCGAAGCCCTACTGCTTCACTCGGTGTTTAGAGGGATCAAGTCTTGAGAGGTTTTGGGCTGTTGGGTTTCATTGGGGTGGGGGGCTTTGGGTCGTTAGGGACTTAGAGTAGTGCTCAGGGTTGAGGGATTTAGTGGTTGGGCCTGGAAGGCTTCCGTCTGTGCTTTTATTTTTGAGGGTTTAGTGTTCAGGCTTCAGGCGTTATGCTTGAGTTGAGGGGTTTTTGGGCGTTGGGGGTGTTGAGGTTTCAGGCTGTTGGGGTGTTGCAGCAGTGGTTTTTGGAGTGGGCTCTTATGGGTCTTAAGTCTTAAGCCTCCAATGTTTGAGGTTTCGGGTCTAGGGCCCCCCTTAGTCCTCCCTGCCCACCGGTGGGACTGTCCTTCTTTCACAAAACCTCAGGGGCTCATAGGGTTTGAGAGGGTTTGGGGTTTGGGGTTGCACCCTCCCCGAGCCCTAAACCCTGAACCCTGAACCCTACACGCTAAACCCTAAACCCTAAACCCTAAACGCTGAACCCCCCAACTAAACCCCCCAAAACCGAATCTGCCTCTCACCTTCGTTCAGGTGAACGAGTTCCAGGCCGAAACGTCGTCCTTCCAGAAGAATGAGACCATCACGGACAGACAGGGGTTAGGGTTTATAGGGGCTAAGGGTGGGTTGCTGCTACGGAGCTTAGATTATACTAGCGTAGTATGGAGATGCAATAAGTGGCTTCCTTCTTATGGCAATCTAATTGAAGTTCCTCAACAGCAACACAGCAGAAGCCTTAACTTTGTACACTCCGCCGAATGTAAGATGTTTGAGTTCAGGATGTGGTTTTTGGGAGCTTAGGGTTCAGGGTTTCCGGTTTAGGGTTTAGGGCTTAGGGTTTACGGTTTAGGGTTTGGGGCTTTTCGTCCGCAGCAGGACACAATGAAGATGCTCTCCGTCTACTCCACCCAGCGCAGCGTCTTCGTGATTCGCAGCGTTCTGGAGGGCGTGTGCAGCTCGACCCTTCTTGGTTCTCTGCTAAAACCCTAGGGTTTAGGGTTTAGGGTTTAGGGTTTAGGGTTTAGGGTTTAGGGTTTAGGGTTTAGGGTTTAGGGTACTTATAACTTGACTTGTAAGTCTACTGTTCACCTACTTAGGTGACGGTCGGAGGCTTATAAGACCAGTGCTAATTGGGGCTATCCCTAAACCCTAAGCCTTAAACCCTCCCTAAACCCATCCTGGCAATGGGCTTCTTCATAAGTTAGCAAATTTTTACTTCTCGCCGGGTGCCACAGAACAAGGCAGCAGTCGTAACTCCAAAGTCGTACTTGTCACCTTGAACCTCTTTTCTAGGGTGCCTGGACCCAGAATTACATCCGGCAGTCCAGAAACACCTCTACTGGATGGACAATGAGGCTTTAGGAGCACTCATGTAGCGCCTTTTTTTTTTAGGGGGCATCCCTTCGATCCTCTTCTAAAGCCGAGCCACCCTCCAATCTTGAAGTTTTGAAGGCCTGTGAGACGGGGGAGAAAGTAACCGAGCACCAATGAAAATGGTTGGACTGCTATTGGAAATATGTGACATGTCGACCCCCCCCCCGCTTGCTTTATCGGAAAATCATGCCATTAAAAGAGGGCTTATGTTGAGAAAGCATGCGCATCCTTTTCCAGACCCGTCATGCGAGCATTGTGTTTGGAGAGCTGAAGAGCGGCTCCTCTGTTCTATTTTGTTATTTCTCATGTGTTCCTTCGTTGTTGTTTTGGTGCTGCGTTTCTCTTCTTTGCGGGAAGTTTAAAAACTGAAGTGTCAGAAGACGCACGAAACATGCAGGAACATGGGGAACGCTAGACTCTAGACGGTAGTTGGGGTCAGCGAAGGCGGTTGGGCGCGCGGATCAAACCAACACTGGGGACCAACGAATCGTCTATTTAGGGCTCGCCCTTTGGTCCTCCTTTCTGCTGGTCCTCTGTCCTTTGCTCCGCCGGTCCCTTTGTTAGATGCGTAGGAGGCTCTTTATGCCGGTTGGAGTCCTGGGTTCCAGATGGCCAGTAGCTGCGCATGGCGCTGGTCTTTGAGGGTTTAGGGTTTAGGGTTTAGGGTTTAGGATTCAGGGTTTAGGCCTTCCAGCAAGCACGTCCTGCGATGCACAGCTGCTTGCAGCCAAGCCGTGAAAGCAGAGAACCCCCCAAACAAATTAAAAATATTCTTCCTTATAAGGGTAATATAGGGATTGTGTTTTTCAGTTTTTTGGGGGTTCTTAAGCAAATAGTAGCTAGTGCCCTAAGCCTCAACCCTAAAACCTAAACCCTAAACCCTAAACCCTAAACACTAAACCCTATAAACCCTATAAACCCTATAAACCCTAAACCCGAAACCCTAAACCCTAAACCCTAACCCTAAACCCGAAACCCGAAACCCTAAACCCTAAACCCTAAACCCCAACCCCTGATGCCCTAAGCCTCAAAACCCGAAGCCAGAGAGATCCTCAAGCCAAGGCAGTTGGCTTCGCACTGCCATGGGCAACCACGCCGCCAGCATCCGAGCCGCACTTTAGGGTTTAGGGTTTAGGGTTTAGGACTTAGGGTTTGGGGTTTTTAGGGTTTAGGGTCTGGAGCAAATCGGGTTCATCAAGTAATTTTGGCTTGGCTCAGAGTTTTGGGCCAGGACTTGTAAGGTTTAGGGTTTAGGGTTCAGAGTTCAGGGGTGGAAAGCTCAAGGTTTCGGGACCTGGACCTAAACCCTAAACCCTAAACCCTAAACCCTAAACCCTAAACCCTAAACCCTAAACCCTAAACCCTAAACCCTAAACCCTAAACCCTAGACCCTAAACCCTAAACCCTAAACCCTAAACCCTAACCCTAAACCTTAAACCTTAAGCTCTAAACCCGCCGCGCTCGTTGCTTTTTCAACTGGCCAGGCGGAGTTTTTGGCCCTGTGGCCTTTTCTTACTGCTGGTTAGTAGGGAATGGGGGAATGCGATACCCTATATAATCCCGTAAAGGGTATATATGTAGGGTATCTCATTCCCTCATTCCCTGCTAACCAAGAGTTCGTCAAGCCCCTGTAATTTGAAATTTTGGAAAAGTAAAATCAGAAACTTTCTTCGACCTCGAAATATCCCCGGACCTGAACCCTTAATGATTTCAATAAACCCTATACCCTATACCCTAAACCCTAAACCCTAAACCCTAAACCCCAAACCCCTCAACCCTCAACCTTTGCAGCACCACTGAAAGGCATGGGGGTGCCACTCCCCTCCTTCCTGAACGCCGGTGACGGCCTCTTCACCCATCCCATCGGCGCAGCTTGCTTGGGGTTAGGGTTTAGGAGTTTAGGAGTTTAGGGTTTAGGGTTTAGGGTTTAGGGTTTAGGGCTTAGGGTTTAGGGCTTAGGGTTTCAGGGTTTAGGGTTCAGTTCCAAGGGTGTCAGGTTTTCATGGTTTCAGGGTTTCATGTTTTCAGGGTTTCTGGCTTTCAGGGTTTCAGAGTTTCGGCCTTTCAGGCTTTCACGGTTTCCGGTGTCGGGGTTTCAGGGTGATGGGTTTCGGTACACACCCTACACAACCCGAACCCTCTTCAGCCCCAAAACTCAAAACCCCCAAGCCCCAAAACCCTCAGCCCTTCAGGTTCGGGACCCTAAGCCCTGAGCCCTAAACCCTAAACCCTGAGCCCTAAACCCTAAACCCTAAACCCTAAACCCTGAACCCTAAACCCTAAACCCTAAACCCTAAACCCTAAACCCTAAACCCTAAACCCTAAACCCTAAACCCCAAACCCTCAACCCTAAGCCCTACACCCTAAGCCCCAGCACCCAAGGAGTTCGTGGACATGTATTCCCTGCTGGAGCAGAACCGCTGGAACCGCGAGGCCGGATGTATAGGGTTTAGGGTTTAGGGTTTGGGGATGTGGTTGTTTCAGGGACTTGGGGCTTGAAGTTTTCGAAGACTCATCCTGGAGACTTTTGGGGGGTGGTTTTGTGAACCCTCAACCCTCAACCCTCAACCCTCAACCCTCAACCCTCAACCCTCAACCCTCAACCCTCAACCCCAAACCCCAAACCCCAAACCTTAAACCCCAAACTCCAACCCTAGACCCTAAACCCTAAACCCCAAACCCTAAACCCTAAACCCTAAACCCTAGGCAGGGCAAAATGCCTCAGTTCCTCCTCAAGCCTAACCCCGAAACCCTAAACTCGAAACCCTAAACTCAAAACCATAACGCTGAGACCGTTCACCTGGCGCTGGTTGGGGACCTCGCGCACGGGCGTACGGCTCACTCCAAGGCAGGCTTCATTCCGTTGGTTTCATGGGTCTCCAAACAAACCCTAAGACCTTAACCCTAAGCCCTAAACCCTCAATCCTAAACCCTAAACCTAAACCCCAAACCCCAAACCCCAAACCCTAAACCCTAAACCCTAAACCCTAAACCCTAAACCCTAAACCCTAAAGCCTAAAGCCTAAAGCCTAAAGCCTAAAGCCTAAACCCTAAACCCTAAACCCTAAACCCTAAACCCTAAACCCTAAACCCTGAACCCTGAAGCCTGAAGCCTAAAGCCTAAACTCCCGAAGCCCTCAATGTGCAGCCGCCAGGTGGAGGGGCTGAAGCTCTTTCAGAAGGCCGCGGCTTTGTCAGGGGTTCAGGGTTTAGGGTTTAGGGTTTAGGGTTTAGGGTTTAGGGGTTAGGGGTTTGTGGTTTGGGTTTAGGGTCAAGGGTTCAGGTGTCTAGGGTTTGGGGTTTAGGTGTCTCGGGGTTGAGGTGCCCTAAACCCTAGCAGTTCAGGGGCCGCTAATATCGTTTGGGGTTTTGGAGCTCAGAAGTTATCCTAAGCCCTAAACTCTATACCCTAAACCCTAAAGCCTAAACCTGAAACCCGAAACCCTAAACCCTGAACCCTAAACCCTTAACCCTAAACCCGAAACCCTAAACCCTAAACCCTAAATAAACCCTAAACCCCAACAGAGCTCTGCAGGTGACGGTGGACCTGGTCGCCCCTGAGATCTTTAGCTACCCGGTTGAGTACCGGAGACTTGGATGTGACTCTGTCAGGGTTAGGTTTAGGTTTAGGGTTTAGGGTTTAGGGTTTAGGGTTTAGGGTTTAGGGTTTAGGGTTTAGGGTTCAGGAGGGTTTAGGGAGGGTTGAATCTTCAATCCTAAGTCCCCAACCCTAAATGCTCTGAAGAAACCCCCACCCCACAAGGAACCGCATGAGGGAGGAGGGCTTCGAAGTGCGCGAGTTTGCGTCCGTGGAGGAGTATCTGGAGAAGGCGGCGGGAAGCATCGCGGACGTGCGCCTCGATGCGCAACAGGGTTTTTAATTACTGCTCTCGGCGGGTGTATGCAGGGTTCCGTATAAATGTTGATGAGTGTTTACATGGAGGGTAAAACCTTACGTAAACCCCACTACTCATATATAAGCCCTAAACCCTAAACTTAGTGAGGGGTCGCTTCCGTCGAGCGACAGACCCCGAACGGCTTGGCCGAGGGCTCACAGCCCGAGCGCCCATACGAAAAGAGCGGGCCGCGGAGAGGTGAGGGTAAAGCCTCACCGGCTTGTCCTGTACAGGCCAACGACCCTGGCCTTGCTGGCCTAAGGGATGGCCGTATCCAGACCACCTTTAGTGTTAACTAAAGTAGAACCCCAAACCTCGGGCCGTTGGGGTGGCTAGGGTTTCGGAGGGCTTGCCGCGCCCCCGGGGGCCCCCCTGGTGGCTGGATTCCTGGACCAGGGGGCCGTCGAGGGCGTCCAGGCAGGCTGGTTGCTCAATTTCGTGATTTTTGGGGCCGTTGTGAGGGCCCAATCACTCCTGCGCGCCTCCTCAGGGCCTGAGGTGCTTGCAGACGTTCAGGATTTAATGTTCAGGGCGGCCGAACAGGGCAAGAAGCCTCGGCCCGAACAGGGTCGAGACGCTTTCCGAACCTCAATAATGCTTTCGAGCCTCAAGAGGGCTGGGCGATGGCAGATTGAAACGCGTGGGCCTCTGAGGCAGAGGGGCCGAAGCGTTCAGGATTTAGTGTTCAGGGCGGTCCGAACAGGGCAAGAAGCCTCGGCCCGAGCAGGGCCGAGGTTACCACCAGGCGTTTTTCGAACCTCAATAGATGCTTTCGAGCCTCAAGAGGGCTGGACGATGATTTAGTGTTCAGGGCGGTCCGAACAGGGCAAGAATCCTCGGCCCGAGCAGGGTCGAGGTTACCACCAAGCGTTTTTCGAACCTCAATACATGCTTTCGAGCCTCAAGTGGGCTGGGCGATGACGACTTGAAATGCGTCTTGGGTTGAGGTGAAAGCCCCCCTTGAGGGGGGTTGGGGGGGTGAACCCTAAACCCTAATTGAGAATAGTTTGGGTGGCCGGGGCGGGTGTACGGGCAACGCGAGCGCGCGGCCCGGGGTGCTTCACACCCGAGCGCGCGACCTCGCATGCACACCCTAAACCCCAAACCCTAAACCCTAAACCCTAAACCCTAAACCCTAAACCCTAAACCCTAAACCAAAAACCCTAAACCCCAAACCCTAAACCCGATGACGGGCATGCAGCAAAGTTTTAGGGCGCTGAGCTTGGGACCTGCTCCCACTGGGCCGGGTTCCGACTCAGAGACTGTACCGGCGAAGACGTCTAAACCCGCTAAGGGGGTCAGGGTGCGGGGTGTAAGGTTTAGGGTTTGGGTTTAGGGTTTAGGGTTTAGGGTTTAGGGTTTAGGTTTAGGGTTTAGGGTTTAGGGTTTAGGGTTTAGGGTTCAGGGTTCAGGGTTTAGGGTTTAGGGTTTAGGGTTGAGGCTATAGGGTTTAGGGTTGAGGGCCGCCCTAAACAGCCTGTTTCCAGCACGCCACTCCTACTCGCTGGGCGAGCCCTTCGTGGTTGAGTTGAATATGAGTTGAATCCTGCTTGCTGATCCTGTTTGATGATGGTACGTGGCTGGTGCTGGAATCAGGGTGTCAGCAAGTCTGTGAGCAAATCTGTGTACGAACCCTTTTACTTGGCTCCACTGACAAACGGGCTGTAAACAGCAAAGGAAGAGGGGAAAGGCAAGTTAGGCGTACGACTGCACATCACAGCAGGTAGTGCAGGGACGAGCAACACAAACATGGTTGTTAAATATCTAGATAAAAGATATAGGTTTTCGCGGCGGCCGAGGCCCTCGCGATGACGCCGGTAGTCAACGGCTGCAACTAGTATCGATGAACCATGCATGTTGCTGCAACCTGCGCAGAGACCTTTGACAAACGTGCAGGGCTTTTTTTGCTGTATGCAAGAGCATATCGAGATGTGATCATTGCAAATCGGCTGCGTAGCTTTTGCCTGCTGGTAGCACCTCTCTGTACTATGGGCACGTAGGTCGAGCGGTTGTCGGTATACAACGCGGCTGATACTGCAAATGAGAAATGCCTTTGCAGAAGGCTGCGAGGGTGCAGTACCAGGTTTGAGAGCTTGCTGCGCAGGTCCGCGTAGCCAATCATCAACCATATACTCCGCGCGTAGGCGGCGCGGCTACTACACATGAGATCACACGTGGGCCCGCGTAGGAGTCAACGTAATGAAAGGAGCCCGCGCAATGAAATATAATGCTCACAGTCACGTGCCCGGCATCGGATAGAAGGTCCGGGAAGGGTCCTCAAATGATCCTCACCCTGAGCCCCAAACACTGAACCCTAAACACTAAACCGACCCCTATAACGAGGCTTCACGGGCTCCCACTCCCAAGTACGGTTGGAAGAGGCCACTTAAAAGCCCCATCTCCCAAACCCTAAAGATCCCACACATCCTAAACACCTTAAGCATCCTAAACATACTGAACCGGCTAGAGTTTGCCCACCGCATCCCGACACTCAACCCTAAACCCTAAACCCTAAACCCTAAACCCTAAACCCTAAACCCTAAACCCTAAACCCTAAACCCTAAACCCTAAACATTTGCTACCACCTCTCGGAGGTCTTAGGCTTTGGGGCCGGGGCGAAGGGCGTCTGAGGGTTCAGGGCTGACATGAGCCCTAAACACCCCAAACCAGGAAAACCCAAAAGGTTTAGGGTTTAGGGTTAGGGTTTAGAGGGTTGAGGGTTGAGGGTTTAGGGTTTAGGGTTTAGGATTTGGGGGGGCCATGGTTGTTTTTTTTTTGCAAAGGTGTGGCTCGGGCTTGTCACCTTGCAAAGGCGTGGCTTGGCTTGGCTTGGCTCTGCTTGGCCTGGCTTGGCTTAGCTTGGCTTGGCTTGCCTCGGCCTGGCCTGGCTCGTCTTGGCGTGGCTCGGCTTGGCTTAGCTCGGCTGGTTCTCGGCTCGGCTTGGCTCGGCTTGGCTTGGCTCGCCTCGGCTTGCCTCGCTCGGCTTGCTTGGCACGGCCTTGGCTTGCTTGGCTCGCCTCGGATTGGCTTGGCTCGACTTTGCTCCGTGTTGAACCCCGCTCTTTCGTGCGAAGCTTTCTTCAAAGAACATGTTTTTTTGCGCCGTGTTGAACCCGGTTTTTTGACGTGCGAGGCTTTGAGAAAACGTATGTTTTCCGAAACCCATCATGCGAGCATCCTGTTTGCAAATGAGGGGTTTTAAGTCTTACGAACCGATCCTGCGAGCATCGTGTTTGCAAATGGGGGAGGTGGTTTAAGTCGTACGAACCCATCATGCGAGCATTGTGTTTGCAAATGGGGGGGGGGGGGCTGCGCCCCCCCCCCCCCCCCCCAACCCCCCCGCTTTTCTAAGGCTGCCACCCATTTTAAGCCGTACAGTCTTTTCCAAGCACATGATGCGAGCATTGGGTTTGCAAGTGGCACCCCCCCAAACCCCCTGCTCTTTTTTAGACGCACAAAGCTTCGAAAGAAAATGTTGTTTGAAACCCATCATGCGAGCATCGTGCGCAAATTGGGGAGGGGGTTTTAAGTTCTATGAACCCATCATGCGGGCATTGTGTTTGCAAATGGGGGGGGGTTTTCGCCCCCCCAACCCCCCCGCTTGTTTTAAGGCTGCCACCCATTTTAAGCCGTACAGTCTTAACCCGAAACCCTAAACCCTTAACCAAGACTCCTAAACCTCCTAAACCCTAAACCCTAAACCCTAAACCCTAAACCCTAAGCCCTAAACCCTAAACCCTAAACCGAAAAACCCTAAGCAAGGTGGTATTTCTACAAGCCTCAGTTTTCGAAGTGCGGGGACTTGAGCGCCATGCGGCTCAGCGAGCTCCGGACGCAGGCGCCTCCCCCGGCAGTTGGGGGTTTAGCACCCCGTAGCCCTAAACCCTAAACCCTAAACCCTAAACCCCAAACCCTAATTAAACCCTAAACCCTAAACCCTAAACCCTGAACACTAAACCCTGAACCCTCAAAGCTCATGGGGGACAGTTAAAAGCCAAAGCTAGGCTTCAGACATCCGAAGCTAAACCCCAAGCCACCTGGGCTTCGCCATGGCTTAGTAGCTGAATGAGTACACTTTACACTTTTTTGGGATACTCGAATCCCCTAGAGAACTGAAAGCGTACACTTTTGTGGGGCTTATGAACTCAGCAACTAAGATGGGAGAAGAGAGTGCCGACCACTCTTCCGCAGGTCTCTTTTCGCGAGGAGTTTCTGCCGAAGCTCCTGGGCTAAACCCCAACCCACTGAACTTCAAAAAACGATTTACATTCACACATATATATATATATATATATATGCTACCCCCCCCCCGGTTATCCGCGCTTTTTGTGGTTATCCATGCTTGTTCTAATGTTTTTTGGTGGCTGTCCGTCTTTTCGTAACTAGTTTGTGCACTGCAGCCAGAAGCATGGACACTCCTGCTCACACATACCCTCCCTTCCAGACGGGGTTCCCCCCATGCATTTTTTGTTTGCTTCTAGCTTATGGACCGCGGTGCGGAGCAAGGCCATGCCTGCTCACACCAACACCCGCCCATTCTACATGGGGTTCTCCCCATGCAGCTGTTTTTCATGACTAGTTTGGCGAAGAGCATGCACATGCCTGCTCACACATACCCTCTCTTTCTACATGGGGTTCTTCCCATGTATCTTTTTTTGCTGCTAGCTTGTGGACCGCGGTGTGGAGCAAGGCCATGCCTGCTCACACCAACACCCGTCCATTCTACATGGGGCTCTCCCCATGCAGTGCTTTTTTTTGTATGGACCGCGGCACGGAGCAAAGCCATGCCTGCTCGCGTACCCGCCCATTCTGCGTGGGGTTCTCCCCACGCAGCTCGTAATGCAGTGGCACTTGCTTGTGGAAGGCATCCGATGAGATCGTTTTCATACCTCCCCATGCAGTGTTTTTTTTGTATGGACCGCGGCACGGAGCAAAGCCATGCCTGCTCGCGTACCCGCCCATTCTACGTGGGGTTCTCCCCACGCAGCTCGTAATGCAGTGGCACTTGCTTGTGGAAGGCATCCGATGAGATCGTTTTCATACCGCTAGATGCTCGCGCCGCTCCTCCAGCATTGTTTCGATGATAACTAGATGTCCGCACTACTTCTCCCGTGGATTTCATTCAGAGCTTTGCAGCAATGGTGTTCATGTACCACGTGAAGAGTTCCCCGGTGCTCATCCAAGCATCCTTACCCCTGTGCCAGTACTCATACTGGGCGGAACGAACTTTGGCCTGTATGAGGGTAGAGTTGGACTTGACGTGTTGATTCTGCTTGATGCGGTCTTTGATGTACCTCCACGCACGATCCACCACCTGCGTCCCTGCCTTGAGAGTGATCTTTCGGCCATCTGGCAGCTTGTGCTTCACGAGACGCACGAAGGTCGGTGGCTTCCAGACGTACTTGCCGCCTTTCCAGACTCGCTTCTTTTGGTGGACCACCGAGTCTTGGAGAACCCCCGCAATCTTGGCTTTGTAGCTTCTGGCACTGTCAGTGTGAAGGATGATGTTGCGATTTTTGAGCCAGGTGTTGGCGATTTTCAGCCAGCTCTCTTTCTTGACAGCACCAGGACCTGGTGCCCTCTTGCAAGTTGCCGTGGAAGGTAAGCGGATCAGCACCAATGAAGAAGGCTTGCCCCGGGCGACCATACCAAGCCACTGTTCCCATCGCATTGGCTTCTTCTGCACCTCTGCATCTTCTGCAGGGAGGAGGAACTTGTCGAAGACAGCCTCATCGGCTTCGACTTCGGTCCATTTCTTCCCTTTACCCGTCCCAAAGCTCATGGACTTCTGACAATGCTCCACGTATGCCTTGCGCACAAAGGCCAAGTTCTTTTCCATGCGTTCAAGAGCTTTGTGGTTCATGTCGAGCAGTATGTGTATGCTGCTAAGAGGGACACCGGCGAGTCGCATGAGCAAGGCGCTCCCCTGCACGGAAAGAGAATGTCCTTCTGAACCATTGCGAGATGTGAACACCGGGTGAAGGTAGTGTGGCAAGATGAACTTGTGGCAGTGTCGGCTTCGGCAACGATATCGGGGTGGAAGGTTGTCGCGTTTCTGCAAGGGGGACACCGCGCTGGTGTTGCAGAAAGGGCATTTCATCTTACTCCAGTCCGGCAGGAGTCCATCTTCGGTAAGGATCTTGACCATGTGGTTCTCGTCCTTGTTGAGAAAATCTTTGAGATTTCGCTTCCACCGCATGCGGTCCATGCGGAGCACAATACCGTTCTGGACATATGGAGTCTTCTGCCAGAGCTTGGTTTTCGCATTCGCACCGACGGGCTTCTTGGTGAAGTTCTTCTTGAGAAGGAGCCTGGTCTTACCTTTCTTCGCAGAAGGAAAGATGGAGCACGGCTTCTTCTTCGGGAGCTGCTTGCCCATGGTGGCAACCCTGCGACGCCTACCTACGCACACAAGCCAAAATCCTTAGCCCGGTCTGTGTGGAAGACAAGGACAATGGCTCAGTGTGTGGAAGACATGGACAGTGGCTCGGTGAGGCGGTGATCCTAGTTTGCGAAGTGATCATAAGCCAAGCAGACACGCTGTAAGGAATTTTCGACGCAACGCTTCTGGAGTGCATCGTACTGCCGAGTAGAGAAGTGGACAATCTTGCCCAACATCAGGTATGTAACTACTCTGTCTGCACGCAGGCCAAGGGGCTTCAACATTACACCAAAACGAAACCGGCCCTATGCTACTGTGCCCAGCTCACTCCTCGTGCATGGCACGGGCTGCTTCCTCATCGGGGTCCTCCTCATGTGGACGGGGGGGCGCCAGCGAAGATGACGATGCGAGATTGGACTTTCCGCGGATGCGGCGGAACTTTGCCTCTGGCATGACGAAGGAGCCGCGATCTACTCGATTTGCTCTGGGTCCTGTACCGATGTGCCTTGACAAATGAAGATCATTTGGTTGTTGAGGCTGCTCAGGCGAATCCGGCGAGGGTGGTAGAACACGAACAGGGCGAAGCCAGGACTGGAGTGCGTCGTTGGAATCATCGACATAGTTCTTCACACTAGCGAAGTTGCCCATGTACTCCACACGGGCATCAATCATGGCCTGCTCACGCTCAACCTCAGACGCATGATTGAAGCCGTACATGGTCACGCCCCGCTTGTAATTTCCATAGAGCTCCTTGTCTTTTTCTGCGAGTAGATCCAGGTGAAGATCGTTCCGATGCGATGAACAGTGGCTGTGGGGCTTTCGGATGGCAGACGAAGGTAGAAGGCCGAGCTCGTGAACACGAAGATGGTACATCTTTTTGTGACGGCAAGTATGTCCTTCTTGTGGGCACCGTCAAAGAGGGGAGTGATGAGATTGAAGAAAAGGTTGGGATCAAGAGTCGTGTCCTGAGCTCCGACTCCCACCGGTTCCTCACCTGTGTCGTTGGATGCCAGGGCCCGGAATTGATTGCGTGTCAGACGGGCATCATTGTAACGGCCACTCACAGTGCCGTCCTCATCCGTCGTGACAAAGGCTTTGAGGTCAGCGATATCCAGACGACGGGCTGAGGGGTCGTCCAGGAAGAGTCCCTCCTGGATCTGGGGCGACCGCTGCCTGAAATTGTCCAAAGACTTCGCCCGTCTCCAACCCGGCTTGACGCCCTGCAGGTCGAGACGGCGGATGTGATAGCGGCCAATGGCCATGGCCATTGTGATGATGGCTGGGGTTTTCCCGACGCCTGGGTTCCCCAGCATGAGGATGGCTGTGCTCAGGAGGAGAGGGTACACCAATGGCAAGATAGTCTCCACGAGGACGGAGTTCAGGCTGGAAGTGTTGAGCGGGAACTCGTTGTGGGACGCGGCCCCTGAGACGCCTCTGGATTTGTTTTGGCACATAGCCCTGACTTTGACCTCGGGCCATCCGGCCACTGGCGTACCCGAGTCGGGTTTGATATTTGTGAGAATCCAAAATGTTTGCTCGTTAAGAGCATCACATTCAGGAGCAAAGGTGTTGATGAACCGTATGCCATCCGCCAGATCGTCGTTCTCGACCGACCATGTAGTTGACGTGGATTTCTGTAGGGCGCCTTGCGACTTGTTGTCCAAAGCGTGCCACTGGACATGATGACCACTGACCCTCGCCAAAACCCATTGGAGAGCCTTCTTCACACCGTGAGGACCGGAACGGAACACTGGCACAAAGGGTTTCCCACTGCACATGGAAATGGCCGCATTGGAAGAGAGGGATTTCTCCAGGTAGATGACCTTCAGTACATTCATGCAGCCGTCGCCTGTGTTGTGAATGATGATGTCGACCTTGCTTGTTTCGGGCGGGATGTTGGCAAAGGCGAGCGGTGGAGGTAGTTCCGCTAGATTTCCTTTGGCAACATGTTGTCCAATGACATTTGCACTGCCGCACTCAACGATCCCAAGGTGAACATCAAAGATGACAGAGGCTGACTTGACGACTTTGATGTCTAATGGCCTACAGACGCCCTGCAGAAAGTCCGGAACTGAAACCTGGTCGATGGAGTCACACGTGAAGACGTTCGGCTCGGGTAGAACTCGCACCTGGTAGTTCCGATCAGACACCTTTGCAATGCCTTCATCCATGAGGTTGCCTGCCATGAGTTGCGGTAGGTTGTAGAAGAAGACGAGGGCGAAACGAATGCGCAAGAAGCGAGAGGGGCGAGATACCGAACACACTACGGGCATAGGCACGCAATGGCCAGACGGTTGCGGCAAACAAGACGTGCTGGGAGCGGATTGGGAATGAGGTTGAGTTACACTTATGAACACTGTTGTATTTCCGTTTAAGTGCTGACATGCATATGTGCGTCATGAAACGAAGCATATTCATGCGCCTTTGCAGACATTACACAACTGACAAGCAAGAGGCTGCCGGCAGCTTTTTTTTGTGCGTCATATGTAGCGGTGCTACCGTGATGCCTGTCATCACGTGCCTGTGCTGCGAACACTCAGTTGTTTAGACCAAGGACTTCATTCGCCTCCCACAGGTCCTGCGTCGTGTCCTCCAGCATATCCTCAAGTTGACGTACCCGACGCCGCAAAGTGCTCTTATGAGTGGAAGATGAGCTAGAACTGGAGCTGGAAGAGCCCGAAGGGGAATTGTCATGGACACCCATAGCCTCATTCGAGGCCGGACTGCCTTGGCTCATGTTCTCAGAGATATGCCCGTCGTCGTCAGACGCCGCCTTGTGGATGCTGTGGTCGACGTCCATTTGGTTCATGTGCTCCGAGATACGCTCACATTTGTCGAACCCCTCCTGGATGTTGTGGTCGATGGGGATGTTGTGGTCTATGTCCTCGATGGCTGGCACGTCCTCAGCATCCTGGATGGCCTTCATATGGTTCCCCTTGGCGTAAGCCTTCTTACTGGAAGCTAAGAGGCGAAGCAGTCTAGAGTCAGCTTCCGGACTCCAACCACCACCTGATCCCACTGTCAACGAGAGTGCACGCTGGATGTTGTTCATCGTGACCTGCAGTACTTTCTTTGTAATGGGCTGGCGAGTGGTGTGAACTTTGACTTTCCCGTCCTTGATAGCCTCATACACTGCATCATCGCTTCGGGTAGTGGAAGTTGGCCAGGGCACCGTTGCCGCTGCTGGTGGTGTAGGCGAGGGGGGCGTCGCGGGATTCGTTGGCACCAGGCGGAGATACGCAGCACCGTCATTGAACGCCACGACGCCGGAGACGGATACGCCAGCCATGATGAAGGAAGCGATTAGGGATACACAGGGGCGCTGCGAACCAATCGCCTCCCAACCACATTGTTCGCACACCGTGAGTTTTGAACCCCAGAAGCTTGACCTCCCAACCACGTTGTTCGCACACCGTGAGTTTTGAACCCCAGAAGCTTGACCTCCCAACCACGTTGTTCGCACACCGTGAGTTTTGAACCCCAGAAGCTTGAATCCAGAATCCCGGAGTATTGAAGTTCAATGCTCCGGATTGAACTTCAATACTCTGGGATTCAAGATTCAAGATTCAAGGTTCCAGGGAGAAGTTTCCCAGGGGTCTTGAATCCAGGGTGAGGAGTATTGAAGTTCAATGCCCCGGATTGAACTTCAATACTCCGGGCCCCAGGATTCAAGATCCCGGGGAAACTTTTCCCGGGGACCTTGAATCTTGAATCTTGAATCCCGGCCCGGAGTATTGAAGTTCAATGCCCCGGATTGAACTTCAATACTCCGGGATTCAAGATTCAAGATTCAAGGTTCCAGGGAGAAGTTTCCCCGGGATCTTGAATCCAGGGTGAGGAGTATTGAAGTTCAATGCCCCGGATTGAACTTCAATACTCCGGGCCCCAGGATTCAAGATCCCGGGGAAACCTTTCCCGGGAACCTTGAATCTTGAATCTTGAATCCCGGAGTATTGAAGTTCAATCCGGGGCATTGAACTTCAATACTCCTTGTCCCTCATCGTGCTTAACGATTAAGGCCCTCATCGTGCTTAACCATTAAGGCCTAGAAATTTAAGTACACTATGCACTCTAGAAACACCAGACACCAGTAAGTAGATAACATCGTCATACTATAGTAGCAGAATATAAGAAGACTCTGAGTTACTTATCCCCCCCCCCCCCCCAAAAGCGTGGATAACTGGGGGGGGGGGTACCATATATATATATGGATAGATATAGAGGGAATGCATTTCTGTAGATTTGGTACATTCTACATTTTGAGTTAAGCCTCTACTTTCGTTGGCATCGGTCGACGTTTTGCGGACTTTTTTTATTGTCACAATTTGGGCATCGGTGAGAACTTCGTGGGCATTGGTCAATAGCAACAGCTTAGGGATATATCCTAGGATTGCTCTAAGCCCTATCATTTTTGGGACAGTCATTTTTGCTGAGCCCTGCTGACTCCAAGGTCACCCTAAATTCTGAAGCCTTAATGTGATTCAAAGGCCCACATCCCAAGCGCTGTACATCCTAAGCTGAGCCTAGGCCACTAGCTCCACCAAACCTTTACTGGGTTTAGTGTAACCCTAAACCCTAAACCCCAAACCCTAAGCCCTATTGTGGGTTTCAGGAGACCTCAAGCAACCGACGCCGGGGCCGCTAAGCCCGAAGCCCTAACCTGAAACCCTAAACCATAAGCCCCTAAATGCGTGACCCCCCAAGCCAACGTCTGCTGGAGCCAGCCCGAGACCCTAAACCCTAAGCCCTAAACCCCTAACCCTAAACCCTAAACCCTAAACCCCAAACCCTAAATCCTAAACCCTAAGCCCTAAACCCTAAACTCTAAACGTCAAACCCAGGCTGCCCAAGAGCGTGCGCTTCTTTCAGACGCTGCCCCGGGACAAGGAGGGTTTAGGGTTTGGGGTTTAGGGTTTAGGGTTTGGGGCCCCCGACCTTACATGCGAGAACCGAAGACCGAAGCTTCATAATACCCCTTTCTTGTTTCCCTGGACCCTAAACCGTAAACCCTAAGCACTGTTTTTGTTTCGTTGTTTCTTTGTTGGGCGGTGGCGTTGAAGGTTCTTTGGGGGGTGGGGGTGGGGTGGGGGTGGGGTGGGGGTGGGGTGGGGGTGGGGTGGGGTTTAGGGGTGTGGGGGTCAAAGGGTTTTGGAGGGAGTCTGTGGTTAGCGACTCCCCCAGCCACTTAGTTAAGGAACACTCCTCACATGACATGTACATTCGCTTAGGCTCAGTCTCCCAAAACCCTAAGCCCTCAACCCTAAACCCTAAGCCCTCAACCCTAAACCCTAAACCCTCAACCCTAACCCCTAAACCCTAAACATCCCCCTAGCCCCTTGCCTGCAAGGAGTTTCCCATCATCCCGCTGAGTTTGGACTCGAGTCCGCTGAACGGCTGGGACACAGTGGCCGGTCTTTCATATGGAGGTTCCAGGGTTTAGGGTTTAAGGGTGTTTGGGATGTTTAGGGTTTTGGACCTGGATGTTCAAGGTTTAGTGCTTAGGATGTTTAGGCTCATTCCGTTGCTGTGGCTGCGTAGGGTGTTGGGGGTTGAGGGTTAGGTTTGGGGTGCCAGGTGGCGTTGGTGGAGGGCTTAGGGTACGCGACCCGCCTAAACGCTAAACTGGTGAGGGCGCCGCTGACCGTAAGCATGGGCGCATGAGCCTGAGCCCTGTACCGAGCTCGAATTTGCGGGCCGGACCTATCTGGGTCATTCGCGGCTTTTTCGAGTCTCCCCAAGACCTCTGCCCCCGATGTCTTGCTGCCCATCCGGCTGAGAACAAGGGCCCCCTTGGGGGGGATAGAACCCTAATAAAACCCTAATTGAGAATCAGCAGAGGGTAGGGGTGGGGCATCGTACTCATAGCGGCGCAGGGCGAGTGGCCGGGTGCTTGCAGCACCGGCGGGCCACTCTTCCTGCACACCCGAAACCTTGGACCCTAAACCCTAAACCCTAAACCTTAAACACTAAACCTCAAACCTCTAAACCCTAATCCCTAAACCCCAATAAACCCTAATCCCTAAACCCTAAACCCCTAAACCCTAAACCCTAAACCCCTAAACCCCTAAACCCGGGTCCCTAAACCCCTAATCCTCCCGGCACGAAGGTGGCGGCCAATGCGTACTTTCTGGATGTGGTGTTGCTGAGCATCTCGGGCGGGATCAAGGTGCCAAAAGGCTTTGTTGTGTGTGGAATTTTGGGGAACCCGAAACCCGAAACCCGAAACCCGAAACCCTAAGCCCTAAGCCCTAAACCCTAAACTGGCTTCTAGGGTTGAAGGAGGGTCTAGAAGGTTCATGGGGTGCAGTTGCTCCATGGTTCGAAGAGTATATTTATATGGTCCCTTGATGTGGTCCCTGGGATTCTGAAGTGCTGGCCCTTGGGTTTGTAAGGTGTATATAAGGGGCTACTCAGAGAATGGTTAGGGTGCAGGGTTGAGAGTTTAGGGTCCGTAGGGCTTGAACCCTAAACCCTAAACCCTAAACCCTAAACCCTACACCCTAAACCCTAAACCCTAAACCCTAAACCCTAAACCCTAAACCCTAAACCCTAAACCCTGAACCCTAAACCCTAAAGAGGCACCTTGGAGCCTCCTATACAACTCTTTAGCAGGATCATGTTGGCCCTGCGCTCGACTTCGGCTCCGTCAGCCAATTAAAGCCCCAAACTCTCAAGCCGAAGAACCCTAAAGCCTTTCAGAACCCTGGCACCCTGAAGCCCTGAAACCCCCTAAGAACCCTATAGCAACCCTAAACCCTAAACCCTAAACCCTGAACCCTGAACCCTGAACCCTAAACCCTAAACCCTAAACCCTAAACCCTAAACCCTAAACCCTAAACCCTAAACCCTAAACCGCACCCAAGGCATGCTTTTTGGCAAGATCGGGCCGAAGCCTTCGCAGCCCTGCGAGCCGAAGGAGCTGCAGGCGCCTTGGGGAGGGAGGGTTTAGGGTTTAGGGTTTAGGGTTTAGGGTTTAGGGTTTAGGGTTTAGGGTTTAGGGTTTAGGGTTTAGGGTTTAGGGTTTAGGGTTTAGGGTTCAGGGTTCAGGGTTCAGGGTTTAGGGTTTAGGGTTTAGTGTGTAGGGTTTAACTTTCAGGGCTTAGGATTTTTGGTGTGAGGGTTTGGTAAGAGGGTTTAGGGTTTAGGGTTCAGGGGTTTATAGCGTTTAGGGTTGATAGGGTTGATAGGGTTGAATAGGGTTGATAGGGTTGGTTGAATAGGGTTGACAGGGTTTAGAGGGTCTAGGGATTGTAGGGTCTTTATGGTTTAGGGGTTTATCGGGTTGAGGGTCTATAGGGTAAAGGGTTTCAGGGAGTAGGGTTTTCAGGGTTTATATGGTTTAGGGTTTACAGAAATTATGGGGTTTCGGGTTGGTTTTAGGGTTTATGTTGTTTTGGGATTGTAGGGTTTGGTTTTTTTTTGGGTTTGGGGTTTATGGGGCTCAGGTTTACAGCATTAAGGGTCTAAGGTTCAGGCTTTCGGCTTCAGGATTCAGGGTTTAGCGAAAACCCAGACCTCGAGTCCGAAACCCGTGAAAACCCTCAGCCCTAAACCCTACACCCTAAACCCCTAGACCCCTAAACCCCTAAACCCCTCAACCCCTAAACCCCTAAACCCCTCAACCCCTAAACCCCTCAACCCCTAAACCCCTAGAGCCTAAACCCTAAACCCTAAACCCTAAACCACTGAAAACTAGACCCCTGAACCGCAAACCCCTCAACCCGAAATCCTAAACCCTAAGCCCTAAACCCTAAACCCGAAACCCTAAACCCTAAACCCTAAACCCTAAACCCTAAACCCTCCTGGCAGGCCAGCACCGAGGTCGATGCCTTTGGGCAGTCGGTCTTCTCCCGCAACGCGAACCTGCCCACCTTTATTCAGGAGTTTTACGGTTTAGGGTTTAGGGTTTGGGGTTTGGGGTTTAGGGTTTAGGGTTTAGGGTGAGGGAGTCATTAGATGGCTTAGGATGCAGGATGTTTTTTCCGGGGGGGGGGGGGGGGGGGGTTAGGTTGTCGGGACTCTGGGATTTGTGGGTCTTTGGGCTTCCGGCTTTGTGCGCTTGGGTTTTCAGACATCTCAAAAAACGTTTTCAGCGGTCAGCCCTAAAACCCAAACCCCAAACCCCAAACCCCAAACCCCAAACCCCAAACCCCAAACCCCCAAACCCCAACCCCAAACCCCAAACCCCAAACCCCAAACCCCAAACCCCAAACCCCAAACCCCAAACCCCAAACCCCACACCCCAAACCCCAAACCCCAAACCCTAACCCCAAACCCTCAGCCCTAACC